GGCCTAAAATTTTCTCTTTTTGTAGTGTCCTTGTCTGGTTTTGATATGAGGGTAATGCTGGCCTTGTAAACTGAGTTTGGGAGCCTTTCCACCTCTTCAATTTTCTGGAATAGTTTAAGAAAGATAGGTGTTAATTCTACTTCGAATGTTTGGTAAAATTCACCTATTAAGCTATCTGGTCCAGGACTTTTGTTTGTTGGGAGTGTTTTGATTACTGGTTTGATTTTGTCAGTAATCAGTCTGTTTAGATTTTCTGTTTCTTCTTGATTCAGTCTTGTTCTTTAGTTTTGAAAGTTTTTTTTTAACTTTATAGAAATAGTAACATATGATATGTATATTTCTGCAATTTGATCTTACTTGCCAAACATTGTGTGTTCTTTCACTCTGATTTATATTATTCTGCCTTATTAATTTTTACTACATTAATTGCACTATATTACTCCATCCTATGAATATCTATCATTCATTTATTCTCATGTTGATGGACATTTGTTTCCACTTTGAGAGCTAGTACATATATAGTGCAGCTGTGAACATTCTTCCACGTTTCCTTCTGCGCATGTGTGAGAGTTTCTACAGGTATGGTATACACCCAGATGTAGAATTGCTGATTGTAACATATGATCATCTTGGCTTTACTAGACAATGCCAAATTGTGTTCAAAGTAGTTGTACCAGTTATTTTACACTCCACAACAGTTCTGTGTGAAAGTTGCTATATTATGTGTCCTTGCCATTTGGGGTAGGCAGTATTTCATTGTGTTCTTAATTTACATTTCTCTGGTTACTAATGAGATTATATTTTTGTATTTCTGTTGTGTATTTATATTTTTCTTCCTTTGTGAAATGTCTTTGCATGCTTTTTCTTTCTGATTTGTAGGAATACTTTGTATATTCTGGATATTTATGTTGTAAATATCTAATTAGAGAATGAGAAAGAACAGCCTATAGGATAAAGGGATATTTGGGCATAAATCTAAATGAAATGAGGGAGCAAGCCATGCAGATATCTAGGGAAAGCTCATTTTAAATAGGGTAAATAGTGTAAAGGCCCTGAGGCAGGAATACACTCAACAAGTTCCAAGAACAACATGTGGGTCCATGTGGACAGAGCAAGGGGAAGGATGTAAGAGAGACTATATTCTATGTAGACTCTGTCTCTACAAGATTATGTTGGGTCTTGTAGGACTTGGTAAAGAATGTGGATTTTATTCTAAGTATAATGACAAGACATTGAGAGCATTGAACAAGAAGTGACATAATCTGACTTAAGTTTTAAAGGCTCACTCAGCTGGAAAGAGAATAGACTATAGAGATGCAATGATGTAAACTGGGAAACCAGACAGCACCTGTTGGAATAGTCCAACTATAATGATGTGGCTGAAATTATGGTGGAAGCAGTGGCCGTGGGAAAGGGATTAGATTTGGGTTATATGTTTATGGTAATCCACCAGGATTTGCTCATCAGTTGGATATAAGGTAAGAGAATAAGTGAGGTATCAAGGATGCCTGTAGAGTTTTGGGCCAGAGCAGATGTGTAAATGGAGTTGTAAAACTGGAATCTGTAGTTTTGGGGCCAGTGCATCAAAGTTTTGCTCTAAACAATATTAAGTGTGAGGGATTTATTAGACATACAAGTGGAGAAACTGAGCAGGAAGTTGGATAGTTGAGTCCAGAGTTCTCAGAAAAAGTTGAGGCAGGAGTTATAAATTTGTTAATTATCTATATCTAGATCATATTAAAGGTGTGCAACTAGATGGAAACAGCTAGAAAAAGAGTGTAGATACCTAAGAGAAGTCTAAGGGTTGGGCTCTGGGCTCTTCAAGATTTAGAAGTTAAGAAGATGAAAAGAGCCGGCCAGGGAGACTGAAAGAGTAGCCAGAAGAGTGAGTTATGTGAAGCCCAGCATTAGTGAGTGTGTACTGTATGCCAAGCACTGTACCAGTACTTCACGCACTATCTTATTTACGCTAATGGTGGTATTGAGAGGTAAATGCCCTATTTAAAAGATGAGTAGACTGATACCTGGACAAGCAAAGTTATTCATCCCAGGTATAAAGCTGTTAAATAACAAGCTTCATATTCAGATATGGCCAACCCAAATAGCCATTATATCTCTTAAGATGTATTTTTGAAAGACCAAACTGATAGTCATTGAGAGGTATAGTGTAGAGGTGTCAAGATGGTAACAATTTTAACACTTTAGGAAAACATCTCTTAATAATACTTTTTTTTTTTTCATTTTTAACATAATTCTCCTGGTGTGCAAAGTTTTCCTTTGACTTACATCGCTTGATTTGCTCCAAAAGAATCAATAGCCTGCAGATTTGGAGAAATAAAGGCTATTTGAAGGGGCAGCAGTGTTTTTCCCAATCATACTATTTAATTTTGCCCTGTTCTCTCAAATCACTATCTCATTACACACGTTTTACTCATAGAGCGTACCACTGTTTGATATTATCTTACTCTTTATTTTTTTATGGGTCTTCTTCATCTGCTCCTCAGAATATAAACTCCGTGAAAGCAGGTACCTTATCTGATTATTCACTGTTGTAGTTTCAGAACCTTAAACTGTGCCTGGTACATAAAACCTCTCATAAATGTTTTGTGAATGAGTAAAAGAAAAAAATAAAGGACAGTAGCCTTTGATTAACATCTCTGCTCTGGCATTTATTAGCTTCACAAACTTGGCCAATTGCTTAGTCTCTATAAACCTATTGCTCCTCTTTAAAATGGAAATGGTAATATTTATCTCAAAGGGTTGTGCTGCAAGTTAAATGAGATAAGATAGATATGTAAATGGCCTGGTTCAATATTAATTCACCTTTCAACCTTGTTTTTATCAGGTATTCTCTCTTTTCACTGGAACTCATGAAAAGACTGCATCACAAGCAGAAATGTGAATACTTGCTGTATTAATTCAGGCTGCACTTTACGTAGTCAGCACACTAGGAGATTGTCTTGGAATTTATTTTGGGTATAAGACTCTCCCAAGACTGATCAAAGTATAAAACACTTGCTCTGGTGTTCAAAGAGATTCCAGGATTTCATAGTATAGTCAAATCCTGATAAAAGTAGAACTGGAAGAGCATGAAAAAGAGAAATTGGAAAAAAGAGGTTAAAGTAAATTGGAAAGAAATCATTTTAGAGATATTATTGGAGAGAAAGCTAGGGGGAGGTGTATGTCATATTTTCTATTAATCATAGTACTTTAGGATTGGAAGAACCTTAAAACACATTTAGCTCAATCTTTGTGCCCTTGCCTATATCTCTTTTCCAGAATCCCACCAAATGAAATGCAGTCCATTACTGAAACTCCGAGCTCTGTAATCTAACACGAGGCATGCCATCTTCTCTACTCTTCATTTTCTCAATCTACAAATAGAGTTAATAATACCTACCTTTCAACACTGTTATGAGGCTGACACAAATGTAAAATTCCCGGCATATAATAGATACTCCATAAATGTTACTTTAATTGTTTTTCCAATTTTGTCTAGAAATTTATTAGATATAATTAATCTTTTATAGTAGAGGATCTGGACAAAGTAAAAATAGTTATTTAAACTTTTTATTTGCCCTGGTCTAGCAGCTTTTATTTCTCTTAAAATTCCTATAGTCTCCAAATGTTACTTCCCTTCCCTCTAGTGATTCATTCCTTTCCCAGGGAGCCCAACTGTAAACAGTTCTGAATCATTTTTGTGTATTGACCTTGGCATTTGTTTTCCTGTCACCTACAGGTTCCAGCTCAAATCCTTGGGAAATTTATAGCAAATGTAATCGTTTTGTTTATGGAGGTACCTGAGCTCAGAATTCACAAAGGCAATGATTAGAGAGACTGGGCAGGTAAAATAATTGGGTAGAGTAGAAAGACTGGAGAAAACTGACCAATGGCCTACTACCAGTTTGTGGTGGGAACTGGGGCACTTTGGAGTGCCTGTGTGCCATTCAAAAGCAGCAGCTGCAGCTCAGCTCCAACAGATTACTGCCATCTAACCAATTCAGAGATGTTTTCATAACTTTGGAAAGCATTGTATGGGCCAAACAAAATATGTCTATGGGCCAGATCAGGCATTAGAGCCATCAGATTGCAACCTCTATTTAGATAATTGCAAATAGTTACCATGCTTCTCACTCTTTTCTCCTGGGTAACAAGCACAGCCACTTCATACTGTTAAGCAGCCTATGCCTGGAATAGGAGCAGGTGGGGGCTGAAATCCAGCCTGTCCTCTGATCACCAAGACTTTCTCTAATTCACCCCAAGGCCCAGATGAACATCCTGGTCTCCTTTGTGACACAGATTTTCTACTCATCTCAACATCGGGCTTTTTTCTTCCTAACACATCACAATTCATCAAAGTAAAAATTCTAGAAATTGTCTAGAAATACAAATGTGGCCTGATCAGCACAGGGAATAGACTTTCTCTTCCCTTAATTTAGAAAAGAGATGATTAATTTTGGGTTCTTAGATCTCATAATAGTCCCTATATTGATTTCAAAGCATTTAAAGGAAACTATAAACCCACTTATGATTGTATACAAGATTTTGTGGGGGTTGCATATGTATATGCGTATTTTTAAACAGATTCTTAAAGGAATAAAACCCTTAAGAAGATTCAGCATCTGTTAAAGACTTTCAACTAATGTAGCCTGTAGCATTAGCTTTTGGGAGGCAGTCCTGCCAGAATATTGACCAATACTGAGCTTAGTCTCTGCTAAAAGCCATTTGTCTTTTCATATATGTTACTTGCTGCAAAACTCCATAACCCCCTACTGGATACTGTTGTAATTACCTGCACTGCACTAATCCAATTAATGCTGGTATAATTAATTCTTTAATCTCAGTCTGAGACCTAACAATTTTACTTATTCAGTGTTATTTTACTAGCTTGATGCTAAAACCTGTAATGTTATGGTTCTGAGATTTAAGAAAAATAATACTCTGCCAAAAGATTCAGCTGATATGTATTTACATTAACTTTTTTTTTTTCTTCTCTGTAGGTCGAAAGTTTAAAAAGTTCAATAAAGTCAGAGTTATGAGAGCACTAGATGCTGTCGCTCTCCCACAGCCAGTGGGCATTCCAAGCGAAAGTCAAGCCCTAAGCCAGAGAATCACTTTTTCACCAACCCAAGATTTACAGTTGGTCCCCTCGCTGATCAACCTGCTAATGAGCATTGAACCAGACATGGTCTACGCAGGATATGACAACTCCAAACCGGACACCTCTAGTGCTTTGCTGACAAGTCTTAATCAACTAGGCGAGAGACAACTTCTTTCAGTAGTCAAGTGGTCTAAATCACTGCCAGGTAAGAATCATTTCTAAATAGTAGGAAGTAATAAAAATTTTACTGTGTTTGTTGATTTTTAAATAAAATAAAAGTCTGTGCAGTAAATTATAATGTAAACAGCAGGTTATAGTATGTGTTTCAACAGTTCAAAGTATTAAGGATCCTAGATTATGTGCTATTTGTCTAGGACCCTACTATGTTCTATGGAAATACAAAAGATGTAGATAACACCCTAATTCTTATTAATGAGTCAAGAATTACATACATCAAACAGGTAAAAAACAGCATAAGTTTTTGTGTTCAACCAGAGACATAGTAGTTCAGAGAAGGACAAATTGACCATCTTCGTAAAAATGTATAGNTAGACATCATAGTAGTTCAGAGAAGGACAAATTGACCATCTTCGTAAAAATGTATAGTTCATTCCAAACCCTCATTTGATCAAACTCAGTTGGTTGAAAATAAAACTGAAAAGATCTATTATATAACAAATCAAAATAGTATTCAGAGTACAGCAGGATATCCACAGGTAATTGAGAAACAAAATTGTTAAACATAAATAAATAATTTTGACAGAGAGAAATGAACCCCCCCCCCAGTCATTATTTTCCCTAATTTATAGGTGACAGTTAGAATTTAAACCGTATCATCACGAAAGGATTTCAGTTATGGAAGCTGTTTTTGCTACCTCAGACCACTTTACAGGAGCTAAAAGGTTGAATTACAAGGATGCAGTTCTCAGTTGGCTAAATCTTATACTGCAGAGCCAGGAGAATATGTGGGTAGCAATTGCTTGTGGAGGTGTTAATCCCATAATTAGAAATAGAACTTTATTAAAATTACATTCTCTTTACACTAATAATATCCTTATACTCCTTTATGCTAATTTATTTTTCTACTACCTGATCAAGAATTAAACATATTATGTCATTTTAGTCTACAATCAAATTCAATAGCCTTTTAAAATATAATTCCTTCCCAATTTGCCTTAATATATTTCTCAGTTATTATTCTACAAGAAAAGGTTGAAATATAATAGATGACTTGTTACTGAAAATTCAAGTTTACGTGAAACATAAGGAAAAAACAGACTCCTGGTTGTTGAATATCTTTTAAAAAATATATGTTGAGAAAAGTTAATAAAATTTACTTCAAATGGAGATAAAGTAACTTTATAGAAAAAAATTAAATGCCTGGGTTTTTATTAGCTTTGGTCTTGCTGAAAGGCCTTGGACATGTTTTTTTTTGTTTGTTTGTTTTTATTAAGCCCTAAATATTTAAAACTTACAGTAAAGTAGTTATCAAATTTGATAGATCTTTATTAAATATTACAATATAATTAACTTTTTCTGTTTAAAAATAAGTGTTTAAATGTATGTTTAAAATTTCTCAGTTTTTCTGTTATTTAGAAAATGTGACTTCTTTGATTTATGTTAATATAGCTTATATTTCTTTTGTTTGTATTTTGGAAGTTCTTTACTGTTTAAAAAGATTCTGCTATCAGCAAAGTAAGAAAATAACCAACTCTAAATTAGAAGATAATTTTTATTCACTTTTGATAAAAACTGAGTTTCAAAAAGTTGAAACCCTGTTATCTGCCAAGATTTTTAACCCCTGCACACCCTCGAAAAGAATGAGAGGAAATTTTTACATTGAATTTGGTAGCAACTTTTTTATTGTAAAATGTAGTTCATGTATAAGTCAATAGGAATGATGGCATCACCCATATTACATGTACAGTTTCCATTAACTGTACAATAAGGAAAGCATCAAGATTATGAAAGTATTGTGTGCTGCATGATTTTTTAAACAGTATTTGCGTAGCCTGCATTCTGGGAGTAACTCGAATAAATGATGACAGTGGTTAATGAACCAGAGCGAAAGGACTTGGATAAAGTAATGTGATATCATTAGCTTCTCAAGACTTTTCAGCTGATTTTAAACCAGAGTTCAGGTTGTATTCACTTGATTCACTTAGTAAATGTTTGGTGCGGACCTGCTGTTTGCAAAACCTAGCAATTAAAACTGGTGTTAGAAACAGAAGCCAGGAGCCTGTGCTCCTGGTGTGAATGTATTTTGATAGAGCACATCCTAGCACCTGGTCATCGGTTTTGCACATAAGAGAAGCTTATTTTATCCAGGCAGTCACGTTTTTTTCTTTTATCTTTTAATGGTAGTTGACATACAATATTAAATTAATTCATGTGTACAACATACTGATTAGGCGTTTATATACCTTATGAACTGATCATCACAATATGTCTAGTACCCATCTGACAGCATACACAGTTATTACAATATTATTGACTATATTCCCTATGTAGTACTTTACATCCCTTGACTAATTTTATAACTGGCCGTTTGTGCTTCTTAATCTCTTTCAAGTTTTTCAACCTTCCCCACACCTTCCTATCTAGCAACTATCAGTTTGTTCTCTGTATCTATGGATTTGTGTTTTGTTTTTGTTTGTTCATTTATTTTAGATTCCACATATGAGTGAAATTATATGGTGTGTGTTTTTTTCTGTTCGACTTACTTCACTTAACATAATACCCCCTAGGTCTATGTATCCATATTGCCACAAATGGTAGTATTTCATTTTTTCTTATGACTGAGTAGTATTCCATTGTATATATGCACCACATCTTCTTTATACATTCATCTAATGATGGACACTTAGGTTGCTTCCAGATCTTGGCTATTGTAAATAATGCTGCAGTGAACACAGCATTATGGAATTGCTGGGCCATATGGTAATTCTATTAATTAGATTTATTCCTAGGTATTTATTCTTTATGATGCAATTGTAAATAGGATTTTCTTAATTTCTCTTTCTAATAGTTCATTTTTATTATGTAAAGACACAACCAATATTAATTTTTGAATATTAATTTTGTGTTCTGTATTTTACTGAACTTATTAATTGTAATAGTTTTTGTGTGTGGAATCTTTAGGTGTTTTTTTTTAATATAGTATCATGTCACCTGTAAATAGTGATAGTTTTACCTATTCCTTTTCAATCTGATGCCTTTTATTTCTCTTCCTTTCTAATACTGTGGCTAGGACACCAATATTATATAAAAAATGGTGAGAGAGGGCATAAGTATCTAGTTCCTAATCTTAAAGAAAAAGCTTTCAGCTTTTCACTCTTGAGTATCATGTTACCTCTGGGTTTGTCATACATGGCTTTATTATATTGAGGAATATTTTCTTTATTCCCACTTTGCTGTGTGTTTTTTATCATAAATAGAGTTGTATTTTGTCAAATGCTTTTTCTGCATCTTGATATGATCATATGGTTTTAATCTTGTATTTTGTTTATGTGGTGTATCATGTAAATTGATTTGTGGATATTGAACCCACCTTGCATCCTGGAATAAATCTCTCTTGATCATAGCGTATGATCTTTTTAATGCATTGCTACATTTGGTTTGCTAATATTCTGTTGAGGAATTTTGCATCTATGTTCATCAGGTATGTATATATATATATATATATATTGTAATGTCTTTATCTGGTTTTGGTATCAAGGTAATGCTGGACTTGTAGAATGAGTTTGAGAGCCTTCCCTCCTCTTCAGTTTTTTGGAATAGTTCAAGAAGGTAGGTATTAATCCTTTTTTTGAATCTTTGGTAGAATTCACCTGTGAAGGCATCTGGGCCAGGACTTCTGTTTGTTGGGAAGTTTTTTATCATTGATTCAATTTCATTACTAGTAATAGGTCTATTCAGATTTTCTGTTTCTTCCTGATTCAGTCTGAAAGATTGTATCTTTCTAAGAATTTATTCATTTCTTTCAGGTTGTCCAATTTGTTGGCATATAATGGTTTGTAGTATTTTCTTATAATCCATTCTATTTCTGTGGTGTCAGTCATCGCTTCTCCTATATCTGATTTTATATGTATTGGGTTCTATATTTCTTGATGAGTCTGGCTAAAGGTTTATCAATTCTGTTTACTTTTTTTTAAAATCCTTTAGTTGAATTGATCTTTTCTACTGTTTTTTAGTCTCATTTTATTTATTTCTGCTCTAATCTTTATTATTTTTTTTCTTCTGTTTACTTTAGGATTTGTTTGTTATATTTTCTAGTTCCTTTAGGTGTAAAGTTAGATTACTTGAGATTTTTCTTGTTTCTTGAGGTAGGCTTGAATTGCTATGAATTTCCCTCTTAGATTGCTTTTGCTGTGTCCCATAGATTTTATTATTGTTTCCATTTTCATTTCTCTCAAGATATCTTTTAAAATCCTCCTTCATCTGTTCATTAACTCATTCTTTGTTTAGGAGCATGTTGTTTAGCCTCCAAGTATGTGTTTGTGTTTTTCCTAGTTTTATTCTTGTAGTTGAGTGCTAGTTTCATACTATTGTGATCAGAGAAGATGGTTGATATGATTTCAGTCTTTTGAAATTTATTGAAACTTGTTTTATGGGCTATCATGTGGTCTGTTTTGGAAAATGTTCCATGTACACTTGAAAAGAATGTATATTCTGCTGTTTGTGGTGGAATGTTCTATAGGTGTCTATTAAGATCATCTGATCTAATGTGTCTTTTAAGAAGGCAGCGTCTGTTGATTTTCTGTCTGAATGATCTATCCATTGCTGTAAGTGTGGTGTTCAAGTCCCCTACTATTACTGTCCTACTGTTGGTCTCTTTCTTTATGTCTGTTAATATTTCCATTATGTATTTAGGTGGTCCTATGTTGTGTGCATAGATGTTTACAAGAATTACATCCTTTGTTGAGTTTATCCCTTTAGCATTATGTGATGCCCTTTTTTGTCTCTTGTTACATACTGTGTTTTAAAGTCTATTTTGTCTAAGTATTACTACTCTAGCTTTTGTTTCATTTCTATTTACATGAAAGTCTTTCCATCTGAAGTGAGTCTCTTGTAGGCAGCATATGGGGTGTTGTTTTTATATAGTAAGCCACCCTATGTCTTTCATTTGAATCACTTAATCCATTTATATTTAAAGTAATTATTAGTTAATAAGACGGGTATGCAGTTATTTCCATTTTATTAATT